GGCGAAAATGACCACGTTGCACATAAAGACGTACAAGGAGGCGTCCAATCGTAAAATGTCAGAGAAAGTACCCCCCCAAAACAACACATTCTGAATCAGGAATTATCCTCGGATTAGCCGTATCTTTTACTGTTTCGGCCCTAAAGGTGGATATATTGAAAACAATGGCAAAAAGTCAAGTTAAGACTCTTTAAAAACCAATATACAATCGAAAAACTGCGCGGGTTCATTTGTTTAAATTTTTAAGCAAAGCAGAAGGGTGGGATGTAGTCACGGTGTTGACCCGTTACAATCTTTTGACATTTCCAAGGAGCAAATCTCTACGGCCGCAGGCCCCCCGCCGAACGCTTTAGTTTACTCAAATATGCAAAGTAATTTACCGGTCACATTATTTATTTGATTATGTACTTCAGTAAATCGTGAGACTGAAATGGTCGGGCCGAAGGCCCGACCATCGCCGCCGGCAGGCCAAGCAGGCCCGGCCCCTGCCGAACGGAGTTGCCGGCGCAGCGAAGTGGAGCTGGCAACTCCGTTTGGCGGAAGGGCGGGCCTGCTTGTTATTTTGCGTTCCCGACCGGGAGTATGTCAGTAACTTAATTGGGTTTTAGTTTTCCCTAATTCGTATTATGTCCCATATAACTAAAAGTATCAATTTTTACATCGCGTAGTGCACATTTTATCGATATTGATACCTATTTTTACAGACCTATGGCTTACTTTTCCTCACTTTTCGCTCTGAAATACTCACTATTTGCTCACTTTTTTGAAGCTGCAACTCACTTTTCTCACTTTTTTTAAACCTATGAGCCGCTGGCAGCCCTGTTCCTGACGCGACCTACCCCATGCAAAAGGATAGGGCCATCACAAACTGGTTGCATCACCAAACGTTACCTGGTTTGGTCGCGTCAAGAAAAGTTACCTCGGTAACGTTAGTTTTTCCAGTGATGTCTCCCGACTACTGACAATTCGGTGATTATTGAAGGTGTTTGGTAAGTAAACTATATTGGAGTTTGTTGTGGAGCTATACGTATTCATTTCAAGTCATCAAACGTTGGCCTTAATGTTGACGGAGCGTGAGTGAAAGTTTAACGAAAAAACCTTAAATTATTTGAAATTGAAACTACGCCAATGCTACAATTGCAATATGTATTAAATTTGGTGTAATTTACGTCACACTATCAGAGGTGTGAAACACGTTGTGTAGACGTACAACAAACTGTAATGCTATATAATCATAGATCAAAAATATTCACAAGTCTCATGATTTGTTTAATCAAAATTATATCTCTGATTACTCAAAATGTACAAAAACTGTATAAAAATTGGTTTTCCCAATACAGATTGGTGCTATTGATGTTACCTGCTAGTTCAACTATGGGTATTCTGCATAATTAATGGTGTGAAAAGATTAAATTCTTACTCTTTATTATCATCTAGTCAGAATTACAGTTAATGTACTGGTTGCAATGCAGATGCAAATACAACTTTCAGGACAACTTCATACTAATGTCGGAAACTCGATAGTAAATTGGTCTTAAAACTGTCTTTAAACTACAGTGCGAAACTAGTGTGGAAAACTACAGAAAAAGTAGCATAATAAAATATCTGAAAACTCAATTGCCAAACTAATGTATCAACTATACAGGCAACGAATTTCGGATGAGACACCTCTACCGCCTTAACGGTTCAAAATTGAGCAAAACCGTTAATGTTTCGGCCCTTAGGGCACTACTTTGACGAGTTACCCCTTAGAAACGGATATTTTTAAGCCTGCCATTCTGCTATTAAACAAGCAGGCCCGCCCTTCCGCCGAACGGAGTTGCCGGCACAGCAAAGCGAAGCTGGCAACTTCGTTTGGCGGAAGGGCTAGCCTGCTTGTTTAAAAATGTGACTCAGTGTTCTAACACCCTACTCCTACCCTATCTAGGGTAAAGCTAAATGTCAGGTTGAGGAAAAATTTCAAGTTCCATCCGATTTCTACATTAATAACCTTCAAATTTTTCAAGTTTCAATGAAATCGGAGATTTACACCTTGTTAGCCACTGTGCTGTATGTGTCATCCAGCGCGGCTGCGCGAGAGGCCACTGTATCGACTATTGGGTCCGTTTCCCTTTCCATATTTGATGACTCTCTTGCAGATGTCGCAGTGGCGTGCAAATTGGCTTGGGCGAATAGTCGCCCAAGCACGTCTTAGAAAATGGCAATGTCCACTTGTATGGACGACATCTTCATCTTTCGACGGCGTCCACGACGATAAGCTCCAGGACCTGGTGACCCTAGCGCCGTCCGAGTGGGAAGCAGTGGTGAGAGAACTCACGCGCATTGCCATGTAAGTACATTAGGCTTGAAAGCAAAGATTAGATAAAATAAGATCTTAACCTTTTACGGCTCTTTGTCGTTCATAAAACGCATATTGTAGGAAATCGCAGATGATATCAACGGGACTGTGAGACATTTTTCCGGTTTCGAGGGCCGGGTTTAGTAGAGGTGGTCTCGGTGAAAGAGGTATTCTAGCGGTTAGAAGAAATGAAGATTCCACAAGATGGCCGCCACGGAAAATAACAAACCAGCAGAAGACATTTCTTGAATTCGCTTGCTGTGAGGTCGCAAGGGCTTTGAATTTTTGCACCGACTCAGGATAGACTCAGTCATCTCAGATTTTACATTTACACGAGTTTAAGGGCTAAATCGGGACTTCAGTTTTAAAACAAATGCCGGTTTGTTATGTTCCGTGGTGGCCATCTTGGCGCTGGATTACCTTATTAATCTAAGGCTCTCTCGAAGTTTCCAAAACTATAAGCCTTCAAAGTCAAGAGGCGCGCTTGAAAGGCAAATCATGTGGCCCTAGTCGGATCACTTCGAAATAGTTACTCCGATGTGCCCAAATGCTTACTGAAGCCGTCTACACATGCGATTAAGGTCTAACTCGGAAAGGCTCGATGGGAAACGAGAAAACCTCCTTGTCGTTTTTAAACGACATAGGCCGTCAGGGGAGTCAAAATTTGATTCCTAAGATGCTGACTTTTGACTCCATAAGTGGCATTCTTTGGGTCTCGACTCAAATGTAAGAAGTACAGTATTTCAATCGAATAGAGCGCTCGCTGTCCGGAATTAAGAAGGAGAAGAACAAAAGCGGACGCAGAGAGGCGATGTTGGGGGCGGGCGCGAGAGGAGTGGCGGCTGGAGGGGAGCCTCACCGCCACCGCTGTATCTCACTGTAAAACGAGGAGTGACCTTTCTTTCCCGAGTAGAGCGACGTATAGGCGTCATCGCTTTGTTAGAGCGATTTTTGCGAAATGACTCAACATGAGTCTTCTTCGTAACAGAAAATGTCGCAGAGACGACCCTAAACGAGCGACGTTTGCGTAAATGACTCAAAATTAGTCTTATTCCTAACCAAAAATGTCGCGAGAAGTTATTGCAAACGAGCGATGTAACTTATATCGCTCTCCCAAGAGTCGTCAAATTGGCTTCACTGATATCGCTCTCCTGGGAGCGAAAAAGGTCACTCCGTATTTACTTGTAGTGCTGCTTTTGTTGGTCTTAACAAGGGAACTCGTGTAAGTGTTAGTCCCCGATCTGTTCCGCCTTGGGGGTTTTGTAGAGTGACCGTATACAAAACGATTGACAATGAAAATTCGTGCCCAATTTCATATTCGTATCTAAAGGATAAATCCATT